GGAAGAGGAGAGGAGATGGAGGGGAAGGGGATGGAGAAAGAGGAGTGGAGATTGAGGGGAAGAGGATGGAGGAAGAGGAGAGGAGATGGAGGGGAAGGGGATGGAGGAAGAGGAATGGAGATGGAGGGGAAGGGGTTGGAGGAAGAGGAGTGGAGATGGAGGGGAAGGGGTTGGAGGAAGAGGAGAGGAGATGGAGGGGAAGGGGATGGAGGAAGAGGAGAGGAGATGGAGGGGAAGGGGTTGGAGGAAGGGGAGTGGAGATGGAGGGGAAGGGGATGGAGGAAGAGGAGAGGAGATGGAGGGTAAGGGGATGGAGGAAGGGGAGAGGAGATGGAGGGGAAGGGGAAGGAAAGGTAGGAGATTGGAGGAGATTGGGATTGAGAAGAGGTTTAGACTTACTCCTGTTAGCAGCACACTTGTGGTGGTCAACCAATGTGTAGCCTTCCCCACATACACACTTATAAGATCCCTTGGTGTTAATACACTGCTGACTACACGTACCGGCCACCTCACACTCATCCCAATCTGTAACATATAGAGTTTTAAAACAGACAAAAAAACTGGCAGACATGGGAGATAATCAATGATGCATTAAGGGATACAAACACAAATTGTACGCTCACAACGTGGTAATTTTAAAAGTCAACACTTTGAATTAATAAAAAAGAACTGTGGGAATATGTACTTCAATGGATTTCCAGAAAACTTGATTGATTTTTATAGCAATATATCCTTCCATGAACAAATTCTGGCAGGAAAATTCCAGTAATTGTGATACATAAAACAGAAATTTGTCATAAGTTAGCCAGTTCTGGACAACTGGACACAGTATAAAGTCTGGACTGACCGACACACAGCTTTGGCCCTTGGAGTCGATGACCGGGAGGACACATACACTCGGCCCCGCGAGGGGTCTGGAGACACATGAAGCTGCAGCCGCCATTGTCTGTTTTACATTCATCACTGTCTACAACACAGTCATCGTTACAAGTCATTTACCAGTGGTAATGTGCTCTGATTTAGCAGGGTCAAACTTTCGCCTTATATTCAAAAAACAACTGTGCTGGGTTCAAATCTCACATAAAAAAAATAGACAACAGACCTAACAAACTGTCCATTAAAAAGACAACAACAAATTTAATATTTCAAAGGGTTTTTTATGACAATAGAAATGAATCATCTGCAAAATACACAAACAAGAAATTGTTCGTGAAATTAACTCTTTCACAAGATAATTAGTCAAAATCCAACATTTCAATGAAATTGGCACTGTGTGTACTCCTGCAGTGACACTTTTGTTTTTTACATTTTCAAGATACTTTCTGCCCCCGATCTTGTCGTATACACGTAATAGATTTTCTTATGTCAGAGGGGTACTCACTACAGATGGAACTCTCATCGTGGCCACCAGGGCAGTCCTCGTTACCGTCACACACAACTGACGTGTTGACACAGACGCGGAACTCTCCCGGACATTGCCACTGGTGGGAGGGACATCGGAACGGTGGGGGCGCTACAATAATGATGTCAATATCACATTACAAGATGAACAATTGCCTACCCATCAGTTAGAATTGATGAATGGGGACAGCACAAATTAAGAATGGAAAGTTTTTCCTTTTGTGGAACTTTTGTAACATAAACAAATCACAGGTTAAAAGGGAAACAGATAAAAAAAAGATTTAGACATTTTTACCTGAATTACAAGATAAAAACTACCAGGTTGCTTGGGTAACATTTACAAAGATACATATTGCTTGGTTATAAATTACAGGTTGGTAGAGTTAGAGATATATTGTTACATGTATGTATAGTTACAGATACATAGTTACAGATTAGTAGGGTTACAGATACACAGTTACAGGTTGGTAGGGTTACAGACACATTGTTACAGGTAAGTAGAGTTACAGATACACAGTTACAGGTAAGTAGAGTTACAGATGCATAGTTACAGGTTGGTAGAGTTACAGATGCATAGTTACAGGTTGGTAGAGTTACAGATGCATAGTTACAGGTTGGTAGAGTTACAGATACATAGTTACAGGTAAGTAGAGTTACAGACACCTTGTTACAGGTAAGTAAAGTTACAGATATATAGTTACAGGTAAGTAAAGTTACAGATATATAGTTACAGGTAGGTAAAGTTACAGATATATAGTTACAGGTAAGTAAAGTTACAGATATATAGTTACAGGTAAGTAGAGTTACAGACACGTTGTTACAGGTAAGTAGAGTTACAGATATAAAGTTACAGGTAAGTAGAGTTACAGATACATAGTTACAGGTAAGTAGAGTTACAGACACATTGTTATAGGTAAGTAGAGTTACAGACACATTGTTATAGGTAAGTAGAGTTACAGACACATTGTTATAGGTAAGTAGAGTTACAGACACAT